TGTACGAGATCTGTGATTTCACATGCGAGAAAAAAGTCGAATACATGAGTGATACCGTGACTATATTTATGGTATAAGGGTTCTGACAGGTACCTCGTGAGATTTTATACCGTCACTATATTTATTATATAAGAGTTCTGAAAGAGGCCTCCTGAAATTTAATACCGTGACTATATTTATTATGTAATAGTTCTGACAGGAGACTCATATAAGATTTAATACCGAGATTATATTTATTATATAAGCATTCTGATAGGGGACTCATATAAGATTTAACACCGTGACTATATTTATTATATAAGCGTCCTGACAGGGGACTCATGAGATTTAATATATTACATAAAAGTTCTGAAAGAGGCCTCGTGAGATTTAATACCGTGACTATATTTATTATAGAAGCGTTCTGACAGGGGACTCATGAGATTAAATACCGTGACTAAATTATATAAGGGTTCTGACAGTCTGACTCATGGGATTTAATACATTGACTATATTTATTATATAAGGGTTCTGACCGGGTATTCATGAGATTAAATACCTTGACTATATTTATTATGTAAGATTTCTGACAGGGGACCTATGAGATTTAATACCGTGACTATATTTATTATATAAGGGTTCTGACAGGGGACTCATGGGATTTAATACCGTGACTATATTTATTATATAAGGGTTCTGACAGGGGACTCATATGAGATTTAATACGTGACTATAGTTGCATTATAGTTTTGGCATGGGATTGATCGTAATATATTATGATTCTGCTATATTAAATTATGTAACAAATGAAAATTGTAAGACATATTTGCATTTTGATCTATTTGAAATAAACCATTAACATTTGTTTTTGGACTGTTTTTTCGTAAATGTGTAAACAGATTAAGGTCTTATCGCCAACAAACATGGATGTATACATTCTGATGAGAAAAATTATCAACGAAGACATCTGAGGATATTGTATATTTCACAAAAAGTGCCATGAAGGTGTATAGCAACAGACGGATGATACGAAATTACTGCAAAGTTTTGGAAAAGAGGAACCATGCATGGATTTGATTCCATTAATCGTCAGCTGTAACTTAAAATAAATATACCTTTGACGTTTGTAAGTGATTTCTTCAAGAAGAAGGGTATATTATATATTCAAAATGAATGTGAGATATAATTTGCAAGTGACAAGGTCAAACCTGAGAGAGAGAGAGAGAGAGAGAGAGAGAGAGAGAGAGAGAGAGAGAGAGAGAGAGAGAGAGAGAGAGAGAGAGAGAGAGAGATTTAATGTAATATTCTCATTTGCTTTTTTATGTCTTCTGCATTATGTTTTGTATAATGATGAAGTAATGTGTGAAACTATGCCAACATGCACAATATAATGAACTAATATGTGAAACTATGCTAACATGCACAATATAATGAACTAATATGTGAAATTGTGCCAACATACACAATATAATGAAGTTATATGTGAAATTATGCCAACATGCACAATATAATGAAGTTATATGTGAAATTATGCCAACATGCACAATATAATGAAGTAATATGTGAAAATAGGCCAACATGCACAATATAATGAAGTAATATGTTAAACTATACCAACATGCACAATATAGTGAAGTAATATGTGAAACTATACCAACTTGCACAATATAGTGAAGTAATATGTGAAACTATACCAACATGCACAATATAATGAAGTTATATGTGAAACTATGCCAACGTGCACGACTTAATGAATATGTGAAACTATACCAACATGCACAATATAATGAAATTATATGGGAAACTATGCCAACATGCACGACTTAATGACGTAATATGTAAAACTATACCAACATGCACAATGTAGTGAAGTAATATGTGAAACTGCCAACGTGTACGACATAATGAAGTATTGTGCGAAACTTTGCCAACATGCACAATATAATGAAGTTATATGTGAAACTATGACAACGTACACGACATAATGAATTAATATGTGAAACTGTGCCAACATGCACAATATAGTGAAGTAATATGTGAAACTATACCAACATGCAAACTATAATGAAGTAATATGTGAAACGAAGCCAACATGCACAGTATAATGAAGTAATGCATTAACTATGCCAACATGCACAACATAATGAAGTAATATGTGAAACTATGCCAACATGCACAGCATAATAAAGTAATATGTGAAACTATGCCAACATGCACAATAAAGATGAAAGACATTCAAGTATCTGTTTCTAACTTCTGCTTTTAATTAACATAAAGATGGATGCAGGAGGATTGTATCTTCAGATTACTATAATTTTGAAAGTAGAGATCTCATAATGAATTATCACCCGATCTCTTCATGACTGGGTGAATTCCGGTGATCTGTTTTTCCATTTTAGGTATGTAAAGGTTTTGATGGTATGTCGCCACAATACTGGCTATGCAGTGCATTTCCTGTGCGTGAAAGTCAAATGCAAGGAATGCAGTTTTGAGGTAAAATGTCTGTAAATGTTGCTATTTTGACCAGAAGTGGAAACTAAACCTGTGAGAACCGCAGAGGTCAATATATTCATCTCTATCGTTGATTTTCTTTATTTTGGCTGAGCATTCCTAAACTTTAACTATTTTCTGAGCAAATCCTGGCTTTAACTCTCAGTTAGCAAGTCTAACTTGAACACTGCTGAGCGAACCTTGGCTTTAACTTTTAGTTGAGGCTGAGCAGGGTCTAACTTTAACTCTCAAATGAGTAAAGCCTAACTCTTGCTGAGCAAGCCTTAACTTTAACTCTTATCTTAGAAAGGCCTAGTTTTAACTCTTATCTGAGAACGGCCTAGTTTTAACGTTTAGATGCAGACGGTCTTATAACTCTCAGCTGAGAAAGGTTAAATGGTACCTCTGAGGAAGACCTAACTTTAACTTTTAGCTGAGTAAGACATAATTATAACTCTTTGCTCAGAAAGGCTTAACTCTTTGTTGAGTAAGGCCTAACTTTAACTCTTTGTTGAGTAAGGCCTAACTTTAACTCTGCTGAGTTAATCGTTTTAGCCGAGCAAGGCATAATATTGGCTTCCTGGTTGAGTAAGGCCTAACTTTGAGTCTTGGTTGAGTAAGGCCTAATTTTGAGTCTTGGTTGAGTAAGGCCTAACTTTGAGTCTTATTTGAGTAAAGCCTAACTTTTGATTTTAAGCTAACAAGCCATTGCCTCTGAAGTTACATCATCTACTTGGCATGATATATTTCTACTATTAGAATGCTTCTGCTGGATTATACAGGTCCTGTTGTTACAGTACGGTGTAAAATTCATTGAATTGTGTCCATAAGCGACATGCAATTTTCATTAGTAAGTTTTTGTTTATACTTCTTTGCTGCTAAATTGTATGCAGATATCATTTTGAGGAAATTATAAGTGTCGGAACTAAGCATATCTATGAGGTTGTCTTTTTACGGAGATAATTTATTCACATGTTTTGAATGATGATATGTAAGTTAGTTCCATAAACAAATTAATGAATTTAAAAGAAAATTAATTACTTCATCTTTTCCAGGCTAGTAAGTATTTTATGAAAACAAAAGTGGTAGTTCTCAAGAGACTTTCAGATCTAGGTGGTTTCTTCCGTAAAAAGTAAAATAAATGCTAAGGAGAAGAGGAAAAAAACAAAAACAAAAATAACCTTTGAACTTGCTTCATGACATGCGAGTTTTCATAAATGGGCATTAATTTTATTAAGTTTGCGAAAACCACTACGATTAAACGCTTGGATCGTATAACGGCATACAAAACAATCTAATCCTATAAGAGGTCACCCAAGGATTTAACCTTAGGATTGGTCTTCAAACCATTGATTCGTGTGATAAGTGACAACTATTTAATCGTATCTAGGTCACACAACGATTTAATCGTATGATCGGTAACAAAATAGTTTACCATATGTTACAAAATAATTAAAATTGCAAAGTAGCCAGGTAAGATTATATTAAAAAAAAGAAGAGACCAAAGAAAATGAATGAAGAAAAAGTAGAATGCAAGTAAACCCCAAAACGATAACAGAGTTTCAGGAATAGAAAATCCGGGTTACATTAAGGAAAGAACAAAGCTTTGTATTAAAAAAAAAAAACTATACTAAAATTTTATTTAATAACCTTAACGTTAACCAGAAAAAAATCTGTTGCGCACTAACTTATACATGTAGTAATGCTGATTAAAACTACTCGTCCGACCAGGTAGAAATTGGCTGGGCCTTGAATAACTTCGTTGTGTACTCATCTCTAGTCCAAATAGAATCAGATAAATACCTTGAAAATAAATCTGAGCACATGTTCTTACATTGACCAGCGCCAAAGTTCAACATCGCTTAACGTTTGGCGTACACCAGTTACAAATAATATAGAGCTAATATGCTTACTGTATCAGTCAGAAAAATTTTGCAAAGGACTCGACTTCGTTGTTGCACATAGTTACCGGATGCAATCGTTATTTTAAAATAGGTAATAACAAATCTTTATGGGTCAGAAATCTGAGATGTTAAGAGAAGAAGAAAGACAAAATGTTTTCATCTGTACAGGCCATGTTACACGTTACCCATGTAACCGTATTTCCAAGACTGAAGCTTTATTGATATATTTGTTGTACAAAAAGAAATATGCCAGCAGATATTTCTAAAAGAGTGTCATTACTTTTTTCACAAGAGAAATGTTGCCAACTGACATTCTAAATGAGTATTTCAAGTGTATCTGCCTATAACCACTAACTTTCACTAATATTGTATGATACTGTAATTTATTTATAATTGATGTGATGTGATTATGATTCTTAACGTAGCTTTAACAATTTTTTAGTCATATCGCTACGATGCCTGCAGTATGGCAGTTTATAGTGATGTCTAGCACTGGGGCATCATGCCGCAGACATGTAGCATGATGTCCCACCCAGTCACATTATTTTGACACCAGGCCAACCAGTCCTAACACTAACCTCTTAATGCTGAGCTCCAAGCAAGGTAGCTCTTGGTACTATTTTTGTAAGTCTTTGGCATGACTCGACAGTTGATAGAACCCACGACCTCCCGCATCCAAGGCGGACGCTCTAACCACTAGGCCACAAAACAGTTAAGTTATTGATAAAGCAGAGATCGTAAAGATAACAGCTAATTGATAGAAATCTAGAAGTGGTTAAAAGTTAGAATGTTTCAATCCGTTTGACTAATCGAGTCTTTCGTTATATGTGTTTGTGTTTGTGTTTGTGTTTGTGTTTGTGCATATATATATATATATATATATATATATATATATATATATATATATATATATATATATATATATATATATGTGTGTGTGTATGTCTGTCTGTCTGTCTGTGTGTGTGTGTTTCCCTAGAATGAAGATTGGCTAAAGTTGATGATTAGTACGGAAGTTGCAAAATTCACAAGTTCCGGTCATTTTAAGAACCAATCACGGCTATTTGGGCATTGTGGGTTTGCGAACTACAAGCTTTACTTACCTCCGCAACTGAAGAGCTGTTGCAACGTGATAAACTATGCAACTTGGGAAAAGAAGATTTGGCAAAAGAAGTGCTCCAATAAGCATTACCGACAATTGTATGCTTTGCAAAGACACATATTAACATACTTTTTTAAAAAACGGATTGTGCCTTTTTGAAAATTACTTTATATCTTTATATATATATATATATATATATATATATATATATATATATATATATATATATATATATATATATATATATATATATATATATATATATATATATTGTATTTACGACAGTAAGTCTTGACAAATAAAAAAAGTAATGTGGCCAAGTGTTTGAAACTATTTTGTTGCACTTAGCATACAGATATGATTTCAGAGTTGATCGGCGTAGGGATAATATTCAAAACTGGTTAGTATATTGCCAGATAACAGAGTTGATTATTTAGATATGAAGAATTTGGCGGAAATCGAGACTCTTGGAGTACAAATAACTGATAATTTTCTTGTGATAAGTAATTACATGCTTATATAAATGTAATACTTATATAAATGCTTATATAGATTTAAATATTGATATATTTGCTTTTGTGTGGCAATGTATTTATAAAGCTGCACGGGTAATCTAAGGCAAACGTAACAATGTCTGACCAGACAAAATATTAAACTGTTGACGTTAAGTTCTTCTATATCTAAACTATGTGTGATTGCTCTTTAATAAGAAAATTTATGACACCTAGATTACTGAAATGTTTCACAGTAAGCATAAAAAACATTACGAAATCAAGGCTTATGGGTGCAAATGCAATATTTTTTTAGTTACACATTTAGTTTATTATTTTATCTTTATCAGGAGTCATGCATTAGAACATGCTATGTTCGTGGCTCTGACCCATTTTAGTATCAAGCTTGCATCAGGTACAACGTGGTCTATAGGAAACTTAGAAGCAGTGTAGTGAAGATGGTTACTGAATAAATTGAAGTCAGGGAAGAGTAACTTGTTAACTCTTATTAACCGCTCCGGTGGCCTAGTGATTAGAGCGTCCGCCTTGGATGCGGGAGGTGTTGGGTTCGATCCCCTGTCGAGACATATCAAAGACTTCCAAAAATAGTACCAACAGCTACCTCGTTTGGAGCTCAGCATTAAGAGGTTAGTGTTAGGACTGGTCGGCCTGGTGTCAGGAGAATGTGACTGGGCGGGACATCATGCTATATGTCTGCGGCATGATGCCTCAAAGCTATACATCACTATAAACTGCTAAACTGCAGACATCGTAGCGATATGACTGAAAATATTTTAAAACTACGTTAAAAATCATGATCACGTCACATCATGAATCCTGACACATCTTCAGGGGAGGCGAGTGTGCGTGCTTTAGAAGTGTAGGGGGAGGAAAGTGAGTGTTGTTTCTTTTGTTTTTTAGTTATGCATAATGAAATTTAAAATTTGACAGGTATAAAAAGACTATCTGGTTTGCTTGCTAGATTACATATTGGTGTCAGATCAGATCAGTTATTTGAGAGAATGGACGATAAGAAATTGATTAATCGGCTGCAATAAACGCAATTTGTAAAATAGTTTACGAATCTAGACACAACAGCTGAACAATGCGACATATATATATATATATATATATATATATATATATATATATATATATATATATATATATATATATATATATATATATATATATATATATATATATATAAAGTTATGTTATTGACAAGCACGTAAAAAAGATCATGAGTCATATATTTTTATCAAAAAATATGTTCCACATCCGAGAGGTAATGCAGTTTGCATTTATTGTTCAAGCTCACAAAATACGGGTAATTCGTAAAAAATATCACCACTATTTGAACACACACACACACACACACACACACACACACACACACACACACACTTTAGTCGCATTGAATGATGGGAAACGATCTATTTTTATATGGATCTATTTTTTTCATGTGATAATAAAGTGAAAACAAAGAGTTGGAGTAATCCTAGACCTTTAAGTACTATTTTCCTTCAGTTAACCCAAACACATTACGCCACTTGGTTTTATCATACATGTATAGCAAGATAATAAACTTACTTTGTATTCATAGGGCTCACAGAAATACATTTAGTTATACAAAAAATAAGGTCCAGTTTTTAATGATGTATGCAATCTAAACGTTATTTGTTTTATATACTTTGAGTTTAACATGTAACCGTCGTTCCCTTTAAATGTAAACGGAAGCCCACATTAAGATAAGATAAGAATTCTTTATTTCAGACTGCATAGTCCATACATCTAAATTAAAATATGGATATAGAGTAAAACATTGTAAACATAAAGAACATATATATCATATGTACAAGTATACAGATACATTTACAACAATTAATTGCGTCCTGCATTGTAAAAATATGAAGTTAAGTGACACATTTATATAGTAGTTTGTTCTATCTACTAATAATATGAGAATTTAAATGAATGTCATAGTTTCAAAGTGATTTCAATATACAGTTCTCACTATTAGATAATCTTGTTATCATTGAGAACGCATACTTTCTCATTATTTCCTTAAAACTGAATACATTATAATTTACAAACATGTTGGAGGCACTGTTCCATCAAGGAAGACCTTTTGTTCACATATCTTCAATAATTTTCTTAAACCTGCGACAGACGGACTTATCAGTGACATATCATCAGCAAAGCTATAATTGTTAAGAAACATCCCATTTGGTGGCAGATGTAACCCTACGTTACAATGGCCCAATATACGATTTAACTTGTCTATCTAAATATTAAATAACATAGAGGAAAGAATACCTCCCTGCCTCACCCCATTGGTTACATGGAAAGCGCTGGATATTACACTTCCCCATCGCACGTAATACAACTGTTTGCCACGTTCCACATAAATGCATATAATCATAAATCTGTAGAATGCTGCTTTTTAAATCCAAACTGATTATCGGAGATTAAGACTTCGCCTCTTTGTAGTATGATGCATTCGAATAGTTGTGAGATAATAGTCGTAAGAGCTATAGGACTGTAGTTATTTTTTGTCCGCTAGATTACCAATTTTGTTTTTTAGTAGCGGTATAATTGTAACGTTTGTGAAATTATCTGGTACAAAGTTATGCACAAACATACTACAAAATAAAACCATTAATAGCCCATGAAGTCTAGTATCTGAATATTTAAAATGTTCCACATATTAAAAAAATCTGATCCTGGACATTTACAACCTTTTTGTCTTATTATTGCATTTTGGTTCTCAGAAGGGTGGGGTATTCAATGCTGAAATAACACGCTTCTTATTTGATTCATTTTGACACTATTGAGTAAGTCTTCAAAATTATTTTTCCACATGTTGCCTATATTATTTTGACAATGGTAGTTTATTGGAAGTTGTCAAAACACTTTGTTTAACTTGCTTCCAGAATTCACGTTGGTCGACATTTTCAAATTTGTGTGCTAGTGAGTCTGCTCTATGTTTTACGTCGTCATTCTTGCATAACCTAAGAGCATACTTAAATTGTGCTCTTGTTTGGCGCATTCGGTTACTTAATTGTCCATGACGAGGTTTACCGTTAACAAGCCACATTTGGTAAGCATTTCGTGCATAGTCATTCCAGCCTGTTATAACCCGGTGGCCACGATTGAATTTTATAGAATAAACTTACTTTATATTGATAGGGCTCACGTAAAAAAGGTCCAGTTTTTAATGATGTATGCAATCTAAAAGTTATTTGTTTTATATGCTTTGAGTTTCAACAGGTAACCGTCGCTCCCTTTAACTGCAAACGCAAGCCCATATTATCGATGCTTGTTGATGGATCGCTTACAGTATTCAATGATTGACCTTTACAGGACATTGTCAGTAGCGTGATCGAAACACCTACAGTATGTAGTTGTTTATGCTGCACAGACCTATATCTACCGTGGCATAATGTGCCGGCAGATTTGGGTCTGTGCAATTTGTTAGAAGTAATCAGTTGAACAGACAACATAAACTCTGATCTGCAGGTGAATTATCCTACGGCAGATCGGGATTTTTGTTTTTGCAGTTTGGCTCGATTTATAAGCCCTAAACTGTATCCCTGACCCTATAACTAATCTTTAATTTACCTTCATCTCGGTACCAATGGAAACAGCTTTTGAACTTTTCTTGCTAGGTCATTGGAATTAAGAGATCCATGAAACGCAAAGAAGCCTCAATCAGGTCTTTTTTAATTTATTTTCTTCACTCGGTTATGATGTTCGATAGACACTTGTACTACTGGGGAACGTTGATAGTGTGTGTGTGTGTGTGTGTATATATATATATATATATATATATATATATATATATATATATATATATATATATATATATATATATATATATATATATATATATATATATATATATATATATATATATATATATATATATATATCACTGTTTCATATTGTCATTATTACTTACACTGGTAATCAACCTGATAGGTGATTATCATTATTAAGAAAACATTAAAGCATTAAACTAAACTACAGAGTACATGCTATAGGAAAATTTAAAATAAGCGTAATATAAAGTAGCACAGCTGTTATGTTCATTTAATAACGTTTGCACAATAGT